CCATCCGCGCGTCGCAGGGGCGGCTCCAGGCGGGCCGGGTGTCTCGCCGCCATGCGATCACCAAACAGAGCGAGACAGGGCAACCTGGAAACGGTCTCAGCTTCCTCCTGTCTTGCAGAGTCTCTATCTCCCCTTTAATTTTCCACATCTCTATCTACAAATTTTCGATAAGGTTGTCTTTATCTTCAACATGGCGCTCGAGATAACCGAGGCTGTCTTTAAACGACTCGAGCCAGGCGTGAAAACCTTTGTTAAAATCGCTCAGCTCCTGCGCCGTGGTAGCTGAGATGCGGTTCTCGAACTTTTCCAGAGCGGTATCCAGGTGGTCCGTGAGCGCCGTTAATTGGCCAGCACCGTGCGTTGTCCCAACGGAACCGCCACGAGCGCCGCGCTCGCTCGCTGGAGCCGCATTGTCGGGCTCTGATCTGTCACGCTTGCTCCGACTGTCATTTCCGACTGTCTGCGACTGTCATTTCCGTCTGTCTGCGAATGGTATGATCTCTCCAGTTCGCTCACAGATGATCTCTCAGACATCAGAGGCGCATCCAATCCGTCACTGCTGTCTGCGGTCCTGCCCTGATCCTCCGGCTTTCCTGGCGTGACCACGAGGACCTCCTCCAAGATTCGGGGGCGCCCACCAATTCCAAACAGCCGCGGGCTCTGCACAGCACACTCGACGCGGCAGCTGCACTACGCTTGCATCAAGTCGCCCACTATTTCACCCTCGCCGGCGCCGGCGAGCAAACCGCGGTAACACGGTAAATGAATCCGGCGTCCTTGGAACACTGAGCAAAACAGGTGTCGTAGCAAACGGTGCAAACCTCCAGAAGCCAGCTGTTGCATAACAGGGATGCAGACGCTATCTCCTTACATTTTGATTACATTTCTGTTATTTCGTTTATTGCGCCTCTATATGTGCCTTGTGGGAAGACTCTGAAGTGCTTATATCACGCATGTTGTATTTATCTAGCAAGCTGTGGTTTAGATGCCTGAGTAAATTCTTTAGAAATGTGTGGCAGCACACATCTGGTAACATCTGGCAACAGTGGTAATGTATTTGAACCGTGCGCAAGAACTAAGGCATAGTCCTCGGACGATACCTGAGACGGGTAGGCTGGCATAAGCCACAATGGGTCAGAACATCCTGCTGGTGAGTAAAACTCTGCACACCTGAAGCCTCCGACCATTCTGCTGGTGGGTAAAACTCTGAACGCGGGAAGGATATGACCATTCTGCTGGTGAGTGAGACTCTGAACACCTAAAGTGTCTGACTATTCTGCTGGTGAGTAAAACTCTGAACACCTGAGGCATCTGACCATCTGCTGGTGAGTTAAAACTCTGCACACGTGAAGCATCTGACTATTCTGCTAGTGAGTTTAAACTCTGAACACCTGAAGCATCTAACCAATTTGCTGGTGAGTTGAAACGATGAACACTAGGGTGCTGGGTTAAACTGAAAACCTCATTTATTGACCTTATTACATCTGACCTTATTATGAAGATCCATCCTGACTGTCCAACATCTTCAAAGTGTAGGGAATGCTGATTTAAAGAAATATCAGTGGCGATTTTAGTTTAGCATTTAAGTATGGGCAGGTCTGGTCAGACTCTGCTGCTGAGAAAATACACTGTATAACTATTTTTCCAACAACATTTCCCGAAATTAATATTGTATTATTCTCGAAAACATTCAGGATAAGTTATTCGTTCAGCGTAGCTTACCGACGTTGATTTGCTTTTGCGCTTGATAAAGTATCGCTCTGATTCGTCTTTTTCATTATGTAAACCGATAGGAGCGGGGGGAGGGAGATTCAATGCGGATCAGCGGAGGCTCCGTGCTAATGACAGAGCCCCACGTAAAAGTGAACAGTGTATTTGCATTGACATAAAAAACAGCTAGCAATTCGGAATAAGGTTCATAATTGCAGGTAAAATATTCACCACCAAAAGGTCAAAAGCAGGAAATGTCAGAACAAGGTTGTGCGGCATTTCACAAACAAAAACAAAAAATGCACGCAAAGGATCTAAGAAGGGAGATATCCACCTCCAGGACAATAATCGCCAGGGCCATCGTAATGGCTTTTCAAAAATGGAGAACCATAAGTCTGCCGCGGCGAAAGTTTTGCACTCTGATAACATCCTTTTGAATGTGGAAGTAATTCCAGACCTCGTATGCCGGTAAAATGGATGCCACCTAAACTCTTACGTGCAATAACGTTATGATTATGTTTTCATGTGTGCGCGACATGCAGTACACAGATAACACGTACCACCTGGTCTACAGTGATAAGAAATAACAGCTAAACTTGTATACTGGATGAACACCGCTGCTTCAAATAATAATCCTCTTCAAAGACGTTCTCACAAATACACTGAACATCCGTTCGGAAGGACCAAAAGCGCCCCGCAATGTTTGGCGGCCCGCATATACGCTGCGTTTACACTAACCGGACTTCCTGCCTGAATGAGACCGCCGTGAGGGAATGGGCAAGGAGCTATGAACCTACCTTGCTGAGTAGAATATTTCTTGAAGAAATCGATGTAAGAAAGCAATTTGATATTATTGTAATAGCCGGTAAAAAAGGTCGTGGTTCCTCTGCTCCATCACGGTTCTTACCGTTTCTCTGACATTGACAACTACTACCAGATTAAGAGGTTGATGGCGCCATATAACCTCTATACGGCCACATATGCTAAGCGCATCATCGATCACCAATATGCCCGTCTGTCTGTGTTGCAGGTTCTGTCGCTGTGCCTTCTGGTGGTGCTCGGCATACTCTTGCTCGCTGATGCAAGCCCACAACAGAAAATGCTTGCTGGCGATGCTGCGGAGATTGCCGCCCATCTTCACAAGCGTGCTGCTCCATGAGAACACTGCGTTGATCAGATCTCCATGGTGTGCTGATCTGGAGACATGCTGGCAGTTTCGAGGCGCGGTACTAAGCTGCATCACCAGCTCGCAGCAGAGAAGTTGTGACGTGATGGTCTTCGATACGCTGTTTGGAAAATGTGGTAATATTTCTATGCTTCTCCGTTCGTGTGCCACTTGCTGAGCTGAAGGTGAATGGGAGGGGCAAATTCCGTGGGCTGCTGCTTCTTTCTTTTTTTCTGCTGTTAAAGGGCATCGATGAGCTCATTCAAATCAAACAGGCATAATAAACACAGCTTGTGCTCCGTCTTTGATATTTGCAGGCGAGGAGATAGATGTTCCGTGTGTCCGTCATTGCTGCGGTCGCCAACGGGTTGATGTGATGTAGGCAGAGGTGTTAGAACGTGTAAAAGTTCACTGAAAAAGTTTTGACACCCCTGTAGGGAGTTACGCGATATGTCTAAAAGTCCGCCACTACGAGGGGTGCGTACTCCCCAAACATGTCTTTCAATTACACTTGACTCCCCATATGACACCTTCATCGGGAGTCAGGACGCTCCCCAGGGCAGTCAATTCTCTCTTGTGACTCCCCAGATGACTACCCTGAGGGTGCATGTGACACCCCTCACGGCCCGATGAGGGAGTCAGGCCGTTAATTTCGGGAGTTGCAAATGGTAAATAATCGGCTTATGACTCTTCTCTTCATGCATGCGGGACGAATTGGCGAATGGTGTCACCAGCGATGGGTGTCAGGGAGTCACACTATCCCTGCCGGGCGCCACCAATCCAAAGTGTGCTCGGCTGTTCGTGATTTAGCAGCAATTCGTAACGAGTTTAGCAGCAATTTGCAAACAGCATGCAGCCGCGGTGATTCGAGGCAAACACCACGCACCAATTTTATCGAAGAGTAAACTATTTCGAGCTCGGAGTATACTGCGTATCCAAGTACGAAATGGTTGTAGAATTATTAACAAATTGGTATTTTCTATCGAAATCTCTGCCATTTCGCACTCACTCAGCACAACCACGCTGTACACCTAACGCCGCAGAGAATTGTCGGGGCATTTGACTTGATGGCCTGTCGGCACGCGCACACTTCTAAATTAATGCCCGATAGGAAAAAGGCAATGCATTTGGTCATGCTTTGTTGCAAACATATTTAGACGACACCGTTTACTGCAAGTGTCTCATGCACTGTGTAGGAACATCGTTCACTACACACACCGTACACACACCCCGCACTGCGTGGGCAGTCACCCTAGGTGACATATAGGGTAAATCAGTACGGCTGGTGCACCTTTGGCATGTATCCAGGTGGAAACTGGTGTTTTTGACAGGCACCACCAGCAAAAAGTCCAGTCTCTTTCCGGCAACGAAGATGGTGTGGTCCCATGCAGGCAAACAACCGCTCAAGGTGGCGTGAACTGTTGAAATTGATCGCCTCTGAAATTGGTCTCATATTATCAGAAGCGCGATATAAAGGAGCGAATATGATCCGCACGACATATAATGGCACATGTATACCATGCCGGCGCTGGAACAATGCAACACTATCTATGTGGCTGGTCAGGACTGGAATTAATGCGTTGACACGCCCCAGGGTGAGGGTGTAGGACCTTCAGTTCGGCCTCATTTATCCACGTCATCCAGAATACATGCTCTGAGCATATATATATATATATATATATATATATATATATATATATATATATATATATATATATATATATGAATATGTATGCATGTATATATATATATATATATATATATATATATATATATATATATATATATATATATATTCCACGCTTTTCCGACTGCCGCCAGAGTAGGCTGGGCTGCTGGGCACTCCTTTCCACGTCCAGGCGTCGGCTGGCCACCCATGGACCGACGGAATCGCCCAGTCGAAAAGACGACGCTAGAGACCATCGGGACATGACACATAGGCTGGAGCCGTATCAGGGAACAAAGCCAACACGGTTACGCGGGGGCGTCGCACGGTACGGCCGGAGCTGGTCCGCAGAATCGGGCGGGACGGGTCTGGCGCTGCTGGCAGCCGACCTGCAGGCGTGGCCAGCGACTGGCACGGAGGCGCGACTGGCGGCCGACTCGGTGGCGCTGCCGGCGGGACAGTCTGTGCTTGTGGCCAGGGCGGGTGCGGCGCCGACAGCAGCGAGCGCAGTCCGAGCAGAGGCAGCGGCCGCGTCTGTAGGAGGTGAGCAGGTCCCGTACCCGCCGGCCGCACGTCTGGGTCGGAGGTTGCGGGCTTGACGCGGTCGATCGAGACCACGTCTCGGCGGGAGCCGCGGTCTGGGGTCATCGTCTTGGCCATGTGACCCAGAACGGCCCGTCGTACCAGAGGCGGCTTCGTTGCGTCGCGGCGTAGGAACACGTGGTCGGCGTCGTGCAGAGCGCGCGGGACATGTGACGGCTAGCAAGTAGCCCGGGGTGGGGCGGCGCGCAGCTGCTGCACGGCGTGGCAGAGGTTGGCGGCGTAGGACGCTGGTGTCGGGCGACCTCCCTTGACGGGCCATGAAGAGTTCGCCCGGCAGCCGGAACGATGCGCCGTACACCATGTCTGCGGCCGCGCAGCCCAGGTCGGTCTTGACAGCAGACCGCATCCCCAGCAGGATGAGAGGCAGCACGTCGATCCGTGTAGTCTGCCCGCTCGCTGGTAGCGGCGTCTTGAGCTGTCGGTACGTGCGTTCGACGAACCTGTTTGCTTGCGGGTGGTAGCTGGTGGTGCTTGCATCCCAGGAAGCACGACTGCTCAGCCCATAGCGCCGACTCGGTCTGATTGCCACAGTCTGTCGTGACCTGTTTGGTGGCACCGAACCGAGCGATCCAGCCACCGACGAAGGCGCATGCGACGGCGGGGGTGCGCGTGTGGCGCAGGGGGATCGCTTCCACCCAGCGGGTGAAGCGGTCCACGCGCGTGAGGAGGTGCGTATAGCCGTCGGACGGCAGCAGCGGCCCGGCGATGTTCACATGAACCGTGCTGAATCGCTCACGGGGCACATCTACTATTAGTAACACGCGTCTCGATTACAATTTCAGAATTGAGTGAATTTTATATCCTACGCCTTATTGCGGTCACCGCATTGCAGTTTACTTCCTCACAGAAAATGTCCACGGAAATGGAGCCTCGCGAAAGACACAGCGAACTGTCTTTGAGATCTCGCGATTGGTAAGACGTCTATGTTTTTTTAAATGATCACATTAGACCAAGAACAAGTCCAAATTGTACTGAAAGCCAAACTGTTTCAGCTTTGCATGCGTACAAAACCATGTAGCACAGAGGTATGGAACATAAAGGAGGCGTGTTTGTTGTTTGATCATGAGTACAATGATACGTTTTGTTTATGATTTTGTTAATGATAGTTTTAATCGTTTCGAACCTTTACTTGTAATGTAGGGCTTCGTTAACGCAACAGTGTCAGCCCTCCGCTCGCGGTTCGCAGAATCTTCGCTTGCCGCCCACCGCCCATGCTGGCCCTGGATTGTCTTGCTTTGCCCCTAAAAAATATTGTCACTCTGGAACTAGAATTGCAAGGGACACGTTTTTGGTGTTAACACACGTGCAATGTATGCCCCAGAGGCTACCAAGGATCTGAGCGAGGCTCCACAATATGCCGGGCTGGTATCCTCAGAACTCCTAAGAAGAAGGGGCGTCCCATCGCCCCCCCCCCCTTCCCCCCTTCCTGCAGGGCGACTATATTGCGCAGAAAGAACCAGCAGTTTAATGCAAAATTATTCCAACACGTGTCGCGCCAGGCCTGGAGCGTGTCTGAGGTATGGTGGACAGTCTGATGATGGTTGAGATGAGGCTCGAAGCGCACACGGGATTTTCAAAGGGGGACATGGCCTCGAGGAGACCTGCATGCTGGACGTCGTCCCAGTGCTGCTGGCCACCGGTTCGAACTCAGCCATCTATTCTGCTGCCTCAGGTATCGAGGCCCTTCGTTTGAAGACTGCTGTTGGGATTTTGTTGTCCATGGCCTAGGGCAGGTGCGCCTTCTTTCCTAGCAGCAGCAGTTATCCTGATATTAGATAAAGTACACTAAAATGGAGCGTTTTAGTCGTGTGTATGACATTGATAATTGTGGTCATGAACAAGGCTTTCGGTGATATGCCGATTCCTCTGGCGCTGCTCGGCATGAACTTCATTACCATTTATATCAAAGGAATTACGCTGCTGGCAAAAATTTTGCCTCTAGAAATTCGATCGGCGACAAAATTACATTTTTACCACCCCTGAATATATACTCCGCACCGCCGTCTCTTTTGCCAGAATGTATTCAACGGTGGGGTGTATTACTGGGTGTATAATTATTGTCTCAGCCAATTCCAGCAAGCTGGAAAACTACTGATTGCCCTGAATCAGTCTAGACACGTCCCTTGAATTCCAAACATAGCGTACATTCATCAAATGTCATCAGTCAGCATTAAGTTCGGCATTACTCAGTCCCCTTGTATACCGAAGAGCTTCTCATTAGTAATCAACAGCGTGCCGAATTCGTTACATCTGATTCACTGTTTGTTGAAGTTCCTGTCATGAACGTCGGAGAAAGAACAATGTCGTATGCGGCGCACAAAAGCGTACTATAAAGGAATGAGAGAAGAAGTCATGTGTCAAGTTTAGCACCCACATATTTTATGAAATGTCTTGTTTTTGGCTTTGGCAAACATGAACCCTGTGCGGGTTGCATGCTCGGCGCCTGGACGAAGACCACCACCAGGGGGCGCTTCGGACCACTCATGTCTGGCCCATGTAGCCTACAATGCACAAAAGGGGCGTCGCGAGGATGCAGGGCGAAGTGATTGAGAGGGTCGCAGGGCAGATGTCAGGGCTATAATGCCTCAGCGGTCATTTAACTTGGCACGAATGTCGCCGCCCCAGCTGGCGCAGCCAGAGTAACACTCATAGCGCGGAAAAGAAAAGACACTTTTGTTGCCTGTGTCCTAGTTTATTTTTCTATGCCTTCAACGCTGTACATAACTTGTGGGCTGCAGCACAGACACACAGATAAATGTGCGTAATGAAGCGCTTCTGCAGTCGATGCAAAGCACCACAACGCCCCGACATCTCTAGTCTTGATTGGCAAGTGCAGTATCACCACACGCCACACAGATGGCGGCACAAGTGCAAAGCAGCAATAAAAAGCATTTGCAAGTCCTCCAGCTGCCAATCCACAAGATACATGAATTCCAACAGATTCCGCGGCGCTCCCCGCAGAGTCCTCCGGTCGCCGATCACAGAGGGTTCAGTATGACGTCATAAGTCTCCGCGGCATGACGACGTTGATGCGAGCGGCGCTCCGCGCGTCGAGTTCTGCTGGATGACGGCGAGCACGTCCCGTCCGCCTCGTTGGCGCTCACCGTGTGCGTCACCGTCTCGCTGGGGACAGACTCCGCACCAACAACGCCAGGCTGACGGCGTAGCCGGACGAGCGGTCGCCGCAGGCGCACGGCTGGCCCGGTGGCGGCCTGAGGTTCACACCACACACCACTGCCGGCACCACGAGCCGCGCCACATCCTGCACCACATGCCGCTGTGGTTCCAATGGCAAGCTAACGTGCCTCGGCCTGCCCTAGCAGTTAGCCTTCAGCCTGCCCTCGGCCTGCCCTAGCGGTTAGCCTTCAGCCTGCCTTTTGCACGGTAAGTGCAGCGTCGGACACGTGATAGTGAACATTGGCCCATGATCCGACTGTCGGAGTTATAATACCCGCATTTGGTTTATTCCTGACCACAGAGGACCGGGTGCAGCATCCACCTACCATGGACAGTGAGTGTGACGTCACAGTCCGAGGGTAGATGGCGCACCAGGCTGTCCACCAGGGGTTTGGTCCGGTGCAGGTCTGCATTCCAACACGTCAGGTCCGTCAGCGACGGACAGGCGAACACCAGCCAGCGGCGGAGGGCAGCACAGGTCAAGCACCGAGCAACGCCATGCTGTGGGGCAGGCGACATGGCCATGCGTCGCCGTGTATTAGCTCCCATGGCTGTCGCCATTGAATATCAAACGTCGGCTCATGCAGTCTGTATAGCACGTAAGTTCAGAACCTAGACTTGCAGGCTACAGAAACGCGAAAATAGACCATCCCGCCATGTATCCTCTTCCTCGCTCTACCCTGCATCCTCGCAGCTCCCTGCTTGTTCGGGGCAGGCTGCATGCGCCAGCCACGGGTGGGCCAACTTGTCCCCTGGTAGAGGCCTCCCCCTTAGCGCCGAACACGTACCCCCAGAGGGGTTCGCGTTCGGGGAAAGCCTTGGCAGATGAGTTCCCAGGTACGTGTTGCATTGCCCCATCGGTTTCCATTCTCATTCATCCCATAGTTCTCAAATGGTCATCACTAGCCTGATTCGAGCAACCAAACTACAAGTAACAGCCATATCTGGTCAACTTCATCAACAAATGGATAACCTATAAAGTCCCAACGCGATTGCGATGACTACGATGGCGTTCTACAGCTCTGCTACAAGTGATCATGTACAAACTGCGGTAAAAGGTGATGACGATAATTTCTTGACTACTTGATACGCAGATAGAAACATATGATAACACGCTACGCCCCGAACAAACAACATATACGAAACTTACGTCAGCTTACGTCAACAACAATAACAGGACATTGCTCCGACGAGTGGTCCACGGACTTTGAGCTATGGAAAACCTTTGACCGTTGTTGCCGAGTAGCGTTGTATCAAACAGTGATTTTCCACATTGATCGCACTAAATGATATCATTACAGCCTTCAACATCCGGAATAGATCAGGTCATTGAAGGTCATACTAGGTCGAACTGACAACGTGATCGGATTTCATTTACCACAAGCCATATGACGACCTGCATGACACAGAACCTCTCTTTGGCAAGACCTACCTAATACCTAAAGTTTTTTACCATTGGCGTGGCATGTTCCGTTCTTCACACAGCCGATTGTCTCCATGCCGGACTATCTTGACCCACGCGACCCCACGCGACATCACATGTGCTATTCATCGAGTTCCGTAATGCGCATGCCATTGAGTTTTCCAAGAGTTACGCGACGGTTATTTTTCGCATTGTTGCATCGTATCTGAGTTTTGAGAAAGCAGAAACGTGCATTAAGTGCAATTTTGATGCCGATCATTCTATATGACCTTCCAATGGTTACGCAAGCGCCTGTTTAATATTTTTTTCTAATGCAGCCCATTACGCCCATCGAGCGTCATGCTACTCGCCAATCGTAATGCGCTTGGTACGCTTGGTAGTACGCAAATATATCAAAATATATAATAAAATAAACTTATTGTTGGTTTTGGCATGGTGCATTGAGCATTGAGACAAC